AGGGGTAGGTTTAGGGGTAGGGTTGGTAAAGGGCAATAGAATATACGGTCTGTACGGTATAAAAACAATTATGCCTATGGAGAGTCCCCACTTTTCACAAAAACAAACCTTTGTGTGTGTGTGTGTGTATGAGTGAGTGATTGAGTGTGCGTGTGTGTGTGTGTGTGTGTGAGAGAGAGAGTGTGTGTGTATGTGTGTGTGTGTGTGTGTGTGTGTGTGTGTGTGTGAGAGAGTGTGTGAGTGTGTGTGTGTGTGGGTGTGTGTGTGTGTGTGTGTGTGTATGTGAGAGAGAGTGTGAGTGTGTGTGTGTGTGTGTGTGTGTGTGTGTGTGTGTGTGTGTGAGAGAGAGAGAAAGTGTGTGCGTGAGAGAGAGAGAGAGCGAAAGAGAGAGAAAAAGAGAGTGTGTGTGTGTGTGTGTGTGTGTGTGATCACTTTTTTAACTACATTGCATGGATATGACTGGGAAAGTTGGAAATCATTAGACATTAACAGCAGAAGTGTATGAGATGTCTTCACTGATATAGCACTATAGCTACTTAGGTCTGTTTGTATCTGTGTTGAGGAGTATTCATGCTCTTTGACAGCAGACCTCTTACAGCAGATGGTTTAAGGTGGCCTCACACAACCTCTCTAATGTCCCTGACACACCAAGTGAGAGTCCATTCTCCGTGCTTCATTTCATAATGACATGGCCATCTGAAATTAAGAAAGTGATTCATATTCAAAACGGTAAGCAAACGCTGCTTTTTACAGTTTGTACAGTTCAAGTTTTGGTTTCTCCTTTTGAATGACAAATATAGAGATACTGCCATCTGCTGATAATGTTAATTTGTATGACCTCTCATGGTTAATATGATTCTTTTAATGTTATTCTATTATATATGCCTACATATTTATTTATTTATTTTTACTGGTTTAATACTTGCGATTTATAGTCAAGGTAGAATAATTAAGCTACTGACTGATAGTACAATGTGTATGTATATAAATGCTGTTTGAATGGACACCAGTAATATTTAAATAAACAACTTTAATAAAAAAATAATAAATGAAAAAGTGTTTGTTCTTCTTCTTCTTCTTCTTCTTCATTCTTTGCATTACTGCCCCAACTAAATAAAAAATAAATATTTATTTCCATGCCACCCCCCCCCCCCCCCCCCCCCCCCCCCCCCCCCCCCTTTCGTCGTCACGATG